GATGCCGGGCAGTGTAAGATAAGATAAAATAATAATTTATAAATTATTAAGGGTTCATGAGGGAGGGGGGAGAGGGGAGGGAGAGGGAGGGGAAAAAGGAAAATGATTCCAGGAACCCAAGCGGAAAGCGAATTTTGAGAATGACGAGGGCAACAAATGTATACGTGTGCTTTATACAATTGATGTATGGATGGATTGTGATAAGAGTTGTATGACTCCCCCAATAAAATGATTTTTTTTAAAGTATCAGCATTCTGGGGATTTTATTCTAGAAGGACTCTGATAGAGACGGAGTACAGGGTTTATAGAGGTTACATGGAAATAATAGTATAATCTAGGGTAGAATAGAAAATATAATTGGGGTCAGACCATGAGGCTTAGGTAAGTATTCTGACTCTATTTGGTGGTGGTGGTGTTAGGTATCATCAAGTTGGTTCCAAACCATAGGGACTCTACCCTATGCAGAACAAAAACAGCCTGGTCCTGTGACATCTTCATATTTGTTTCTATGCTTGAGTCCCAGCGTTGCAAACACTATGTCAACGCATCTCCTTGAAGGCCTTCCTCTTTGTCACTGCCCGGCTACTTTACCAAGGATGATGTGCTTCTCCAGCAACTGATCTCTCTGGATAACATATCCAAAGTTTGTAAGATGAAGTCTTGCCAACCTTGCTCTAAGGAACACTCTGGCCGTACTTCTTCCAAAACAGATTTGTTTGTTCTACTGGCGGCCCATGGTACTTTCAATATTCTTCCCCAGCACCACACTTCAAATGCCTTGATTCTTAGTCAATCGTCCTTATTCGATGTCCAATTTTCACATGCAGATAAGGTAGTTGAAAATACCATGGAATGGATCAGGTACACCTTAGTCCTCAAAGTAACATCCTGTTTCTCAATATTTAAAAGAGGTCTAATGGAGATTTACCAAATGCAATGCATCTTTTGATATCTTGATTGCTTCTTTCATGAGCATTCATTGTAGATCCAAGTAAGACAAAATTCCTTGACAACTTTAACCTCTTCTTCATTTATCATGATGTTACTTATTAGTACAGTTGTAAGGATTTGGGTCTTCCTTATATTGAGCGGTAATCCATAATGAAGGCTGCAACCTTGATCTTCATCGGCAAATGTTTCAAATCAACCTCTTTTTCAGCAAGCAAAATTCTGTCATCTGCATATCACAGCCTTTCTCCAAACCGGATTCCACATTTTTCTTCATAGAATCCAGCTTCTCTGATGATTTGCTCAACATAGAAAAGATATAATCCTGATGCACATCTTTCCTGATTTTACACCATGCAATATTCCCTTATTCTGTTCACACAACTGCCTCTTGATCCATGTACACATTCCAAATTAGCATAATTGGAATTCACATTCTTCTCAAGGTTATCCATAGTTTACTATGATCCACACAGCCAAATACCATGGTATAGCCCATGAAACACAACTAAACATCTTTCTGGTATTCTCAGCTTTGAGCCAACATCCATCTAACATCAACGATAATGTCCCTTGTCCATTTACCTTAGCTACTCTAAGATTAAGTGCAAGTTTCAAAGTCCCTTCTGACATCCACTTTTATCCTTTCTCGCTTTCCTATCTTTTTAATGACCTTTTGCTCCCCTCATGAGTGATGTTCTGAGGTACTCCCACAGCTCATTGGGTCTCCTGTCATTAGTGTTCAATGCATCAAAACTGTTCTTACTATGTTCTCAAACCTCAAACATCAAGTGTGATAGGCTCAAGGTCAAATTTTGGCTCTAGTGAACTTGTCTTAATTGTCTTCAGCATCAACTTAAACTTACATATGACCAATTGTAATCCACAGCCAGCCCTGGTCTTGTTTTAGCAGCTAATATTGAGCTTCTGCATCATCTCTTCCCACAGATGTTGTCAACTTGATTTCTGTGTGTTCCATCTGGAGAAGTCTATTCATATGATTGCCTTTTGTGTTGTTGAATGAGGCATTTGCTATGAACAAATCATTGGTCTTGTAAAATTCTATTATGGGATCTCTGGGTTCATTTCTATCACCAAGACTATATTTTCCAACTACAGTTTCTTCCTGTTTGTTTCCAACTTTTTAATTTAATCACCAACATTTACCAAAGCATCTTGATGACATGCTTGATCAATTTCTGCCTAAAGACATTAGTAGAATTCTTCAATTTGTCCATCACTAGTTTTTATGATTGTTGCATAAATTGTAATAATAGTTGCATTGATCAGATTTCCTTGAAGGTGGCAGATATAATCCTATCACAGACAACATTTACTTCAAGAAACATCTTGAAATATCCTTTTGACAATTAATGCAAAGCCATTCCTCTTGATTGTGTTATTCCTGACATGGTGAACCATATGATATTCTGATTCCGAATGGCCAATACTAGTATATTTTAGCACACTAATTCCTAGGATATCAACTTTTATGTGTTTCATTTTGTTTTTTATGACTTCCAATTTTCCTAGTTTCATACTTCATACAAGATCCAGTTATTGGTAGATTTTGCAGGTTTTTCTTCTTATCCCACCAGCAAACAAAGATACTGAAGGCTCTACTCCCATAGGCTTTATGCCGTTCACATCACCACGGCTGACTCTACTTTGAGAAAGCAGCTCCTCCTCAGTCACATTTTGTGTGCTCATCCTCGGGCACTATCTCGGAATGTCCTGTCTCCATATGGTTTTCATCAGCTACTTCCTAGGAAGTAGGGAGTCGTTTCCTTCTTTTTAGTCTGTTCTTAGCCTGGACGCTCCATTGAAACCTTTTACTCTGGGTGACCCTGTTGGCACTTGGAACACCAGTGACATAGCTTACAGCAACACACAAGCCACCGCCGTAGGACAAACTGATAGACAAGAATTGAGACTTTATTTCATAGGTTGTGTTATTTATTAAGTATTGTTCAGAGATGAATGGCATAATCATAGTGTTCCTTAGTAATGCTTCATTGGGCATTACAGAGGGTCATCTGGAAGAAGCAGCAAATACAAATAGGAAGACTTAATAAATCAATTAAGTAGTATTATTAAATTAGTCTAGAAAGATACAAATGGAAACTAAACTAGAAAATTAACATTTTCTGGTTCAATGATCTTTTTGGGTGGCAGTCACTATGCTAGGAACTGCAGATAAAACAGAAAATACGGATGGTATGACCCAGGATAGTGAAGAATGATGATATCGAACATACATAAGTACAAATACTTGATAAGTGCTATAAAAGAGTAGCAAAAAAGGTCTATCAGAACTATTATTGCTTCAAAAGTATTAACAGATTGGATGGGGCAGCAAAGAAGGAGGCACAGAGACATTTTTAACTTGGCAAACTGATTAGAATTGGAGTTGGATTTGTTTCAGGGCACTAAGACTCTACCAAGTACACTCCACACCCTAGCATATCACCAAGGGTAGCAGAGAGCTCAAGGTAATAGCCAGTGAAAAAGAAAGCCATGACAATGTTTGGGACACTACTTAAACTAGTTATATGAATTTCATACCTCTAGGCATCTAAAATCACTATCTCTTTTCTCTCCAATTTTGTTTGTTACTTGATTGGCTTACTTGGTTACACTGGGGCTGTAGTGGCATAATGGTTACTCATTGGGCTCCAATCTGCAAGGTCAGGAGTTCAAAACCACCAGCCATGTCTCAGGAGAAAGATGGGGCTTTCTACTACTATACAGAGTTACAGTCTCAGAAAACCCCCAGGGGCAGTTATCATCTGTCTTATAGAGTCACTGTAAGTCAGCGATGACTTGATAGCAGTGAGTAGGAATGAGTTGTGACAATAAAGTCATGAGTATGAGTCTAAAAAAAGACTAGGGTATTCCCTTTTCCTCTGCTTTATGGTCATAATCACTTTCCCACGTTAATCAAATGACTCAAACATGTTCCTTTGATCACTTAAGTTCTGGGCAAGAAATTAAAGATGAGTGAAACAGAATTTTATAAATTTTAGAATAACTTACAGTGGTGATATTGTTACTGGTTAGTGAAAAACGTATTCTGAGTGTTACAGAGATCATATATTTGAAGAGAGGGCAATGTTTCCACAGTACAGATACCATTGAATAGTCTGAGCCAGTTCCTTGAGTTATAAAGCACCAAAAGTAACTTCTGGGATGAGTAGGAAATCCTTGTGCAGATAAAACCAAGAATCCACAACTCAGAACAAAAAGTATACATACCGAAAAAGGTTTTGTGGAGTGCTGACTTAACTTAATGACAGATTCCCTGCTGTCAGATGAATACTTCTCCATTAAAATTCTGCTTGTTTGAGCACTCTATTAAAAAAATGTAACATTTTTAGTTATTTGTGGAATATTTTAACAAGTGGATGATCACTGTCAATTAGTAGTTTTTCATTATTACTACAAAAGAAAAAGGAAGATGAAGAATTTTAGAAAGTACTCTTACAGCTGTACCAAAGTCTACTTACAATCTTAGCATTGGTCCCAAATTTATAATTTGGCTTCAGCTTTGGCCTTTTACTAAATTGTGTTTTGATAATTTCTCTGATACTACTAAAAATAAGAATAATCAATGATCTTATGATCTCATTGTTAGCATTGAATCTACTTTGTACATCAGCATTATATATAAGTAAGATGCATTATACACAAATAAGACATACCAGTTGAATGTATTACCAATACTTTACTATTTTCTCTTAAGTGCAGATAAGTTTTATAAATTGGAGTGCATTGGTGTGAAAACTTCCTCAAATATTATAGCATCAGATTCTATTAATCAATTAAGTTATGTGTATATTTTTATAGTTTCAAAAACAAATGTTGGGATGATTATGGTGATTATTAAATCTACTATTTTTCTATATTGTAGTCAGTGATTTGGATATGCAGAAACACTTATGAGACCTACGTTTACAGCCAGGTTAAATCAAGATGAATTCAACCATGGTGCTGTTTTCTTCTTTGCTAAAATCTTTAGGGCTCAAACAACTATGATTTTGAATTGAAGAAATAGTCATTGAATAGAAACTGGGATTTTAAAAGACCATGCAAATATCACTTATAGTGGAACAGATTAGCAGAAGGCTATAGGTAATTCAAGGATTCAACATTGAATTCTTTCTTCACTGCATTCTGTTTGTTTTGTTTTAGAAAGCAGCTATATCATAATGTAATAGAATAACTGGCCATAGCAGAAAGATATTTGGTCACTTTCATCATTAATCTTAAAAAAGACTAACAGCAGGTTATGCAAAAGATTTTGGAAATATTTTGTCTTGTGCTTTTACAAGCTATATAAACAAGATGGAACCACACCTATTACATATTTTGAAAATGTTCAACAACGAGGGAAAAAACTTAATACTGTGTTTTACTGGTGGCTTTTTTAAAAGAGAAAATGTTTAAAATGTTAAAACTCGCCAATAAATTGGCCAAACTAATGTGCCTTGAGAGGGTCTTGCCAGTATTATTTACATGACATTTGTCAGAAAAACTCCTGTACTATGCCTGGGACATTGCTGGAATTAGAATGTATGCAATAAAAACTGGAATGCAGATGGAAATGAAAACAATTTTGTTGTGTTGAAAGTCAATTATGACTTCTGCTTCTAATTAGGGGGCAAGGTAATTGTTTAGAGGACAAAATAGAGAACTACATGTATTCTGAAAAACAGAATATTCAAAGCATACACTAGCTAGCAAGATGATGGGAAAAACCCTAGGCTGATATAAAAAAGGTTAAGACCCTGGAAAAGTAAGGCCACTATTCAAAGATGCTTTCTTCTCTCAGGATTCTTACCCAAATAATTATAAATGTGAGCTGCCTGAATTTGATAGCTTCCTAAAGCAAGGGTGACAGAAATCAATACCCAGAGTCCACCTGAGGTGGGGAGCCTGGTAATATACAAATAAACTGGGATATCACAGCACTACATGCTCAGATTAGCAGTAAGTGCAAGTTCATTCGCTTCTCATGACTTGCATCCTGCGCTCTGTTACAAGGGTGGTGAAGGAAAACTCAAGGTTCAACCTGAGATTAAGGCTATCTCTAAATGGTAATGCCCTCAAGTATCTGTAAAATCTTTCTCTAGAGGAGGGAATGGTCATTCTAGATCTCCAATGTTTCCTAAACTAAATATTTTACAACAACCAAACTTTTTAAAAAATCAGCCAAGTACATACATACATGCACAAAACAACATCATCAGTAAGAACTAATAGGAACACTAAAATATTGATGGAGAGGAAAAACCTACAGGTCTTCAGATATTGAAATTGCCAAATACTGACTTTAAAAAAATCATGTTCACTATGCTTGCCGGAGTAATAATTAGGTTTTAATTTTTGCAGGGAACAAGAAACAATAAAAGTTACATAACAGATTTTTAAAACAGAAATTCTAAAGCAGAAAAATACAAGACTCAAGTTTAAAATATAGTAAACAAATTTAACAATAGATTGGTATATTTAACAATACAGTAGCCGAAATTGAAGAGAGAATTAATCTAGTGTCATCAAGTCATTTCCAGCTCAGTGATCCTCTAGGATTTCTCTATGGGAGCAGAGAGCTTCAGCTTTCTTTCTCAGAGCAACTGCTGGGTTGGAGCTGCCGACCTTATAGTTAGCAGTCCAGTGCTTGGCAGGCAGCACATACAGCCTCCTTTTGTGGAGCTTAAATATAAGATAAACTAGATAGAATTATCCAGAGTTCAACACCAATACACAAAATTATAGGAAATGTGTATAATTAGAAAATGAGAAAGAGAATGGAAAGGGGCAATTTTTTAAGAGCTAATGACTAAAATTTTTTCTTATCAAACTTTTTGTGGCTCAATGAATAAATAGATTTAATTCTAAAATCTTCTGATGATTGCTCATAATGTCAATTTAGTGGCTGACTGACACTTTACATAAATGTCCAGTAAAAGTTAATGTTTAATGATGTTATAAATAATATATAAATATTATATATATTATATGTAATATATATAAATATAATAATGTTGTAACCATTTAGACAATTTCATTGTCAAAGATTCTGCACAAATGGGAAAATTAATTAAGTACATCACCTCATATTTTGAATATAAAGTTTCCTTCATGACAGAAACAGGAACAGAGAACTTGGGTGCAGACGGATTCCAAAACAACTTCGTAAATCCTGAATAAGCAGACACCTTCAAAAATAACACGAGGCTATTAGAAACTTAACAAATGCGTCCTTAAAGTTAAAACCCAAGCTCTGTCAAAATTGTTTCTAGTTATTAAGAAAATAACCTACTTGGTTCCACCACCTCTGACAGTCTTGGAAAAACACAAATTTGTAACATACAAATGCAAACTTTCTTTTTTATGCAAAACTGTCATCAGCAATGCCAAATGATTACAAGGATGTGAGAAAATAAGTAGGACCACACTGGAAGTAAAACTGGCAATTTTTAACAGAAAATGTGTATGCCAGATGATCCAGCAATTTCATTGTAAAAAGTATTGCTACACAATCATAGAAACCTTGGCTCAACAAAAATATCAAAATGTTGATGCTCTTTTTTCTTGACATAGCCTCCACCTAAGTCTATATACTTCTAAAAGTGTTACCTTCTCCCTACCCCTTCCTCAAAGAATTCTGCTCTCTCCAACTTGTACCACATTAAAGCATCATTGTTGACGTCCAAAAGGGATTCAGATCATTTTCCTTCTCATGTTCTCGGATCATGGGGAAAATATGCAGTCTGAAGAGAGAAGATCAAGGATGCAGGGAGGATATGGTAAGGTTTCTCAACTAAATTCTCCTGGGACAGAACTGCTACCCGGGAAGAATGAGCCAGTGAAATGTTGTCACGGGAAAATTTTCCTGCACGTGGTACAACTTTCCTGGTCTTTTTCTCAGCAATGAGCTTTCCATTTCTTGAAACTTTTCCATGATAACTCCTTGGGGTCATCCTATACTCTTCAAGAAAATTTATCAAAATTTTCCCTATACACTTGATAACCCACTCTCATGAAGAGATCGCTGAAGATATGAGTATGATAGCACAGTGTGGTGGAAAAGCCAGACGGTGGCCAGCTATCAGAAAGAAGAGTGTCTGGGGTCTTAAAGGCTTCTCTTTAAGCAAACATCCACCTAAGCTAGGCCTCCACTAAGAAGCACACCAGCCTGTGTGATCCAAGGAATATAAATGACAAAATCTGAATCCACAAAAGCGAAAATGGTATCAGAGCTTAAGCTTATGGTCAATCCTCTCTGATCATAATTGAGAGATGTGAATAACCACGTTAGGTTTAAAAACCTTAATTCTAAAGAAAGATGAAAATAATAGAAACTAGAATAATTAAAATGGTCAAAAGAGAGAACAAGTGATAAGGCATTACATTTTAGACTGACTACCCCTGACTCACGGGCTTCTCTGTCTAATAACATGGGTAGTCACATTCCCTCACTCTGGTCACAGGGAACTCACTAGAAGCTTAATCCATGTGAGGACCCTGCAAATAGATTTTGGGCTTCCACTGCCATCCCCAGCCTTCTGCAAACCAGATGCTCACAATTTAAATTCTAAGACTGTTCCCTCTTTCAGGTTTGGATTTTGTTATTATGCTGAATAAAAATTTATTATTTTTGTTATTTATTATACAGGCTGATGTGCTTCTTCCAAGTGAACTTACCTGATGCTAAGGTTTGTTTAAAGACAATCCTTAAGACCCCAGATGTTATAATGAAAGTTGTAGTCAGAGTAAATTGTATTGAAAGAGCTTTAAAAAGAATAAATATCTAAAATCAAATCATTATAAAGGCTTGCAAATTAAAAAAAGATGACCTCTATGTAATCCTGTAAAACAGTTGACATAACCTTCTTTTTTTTGTTTTAATCATTTTATTAGGGGTTCATATAACTCTTATCACAATCCATACATACATCAATTGTGTAAAGCACATTTGTACATTCATTGACCTCATCATTCTCAAAACATTTGCTCTCCACTTAAGCCCCCGGCATTAGGTCCTCATTTTCCCCTCCCTCCCCGCTCCCCCTCCCTCATGAGCCCTTGATAATTTATAAATTATTATTTTGTCTTATCTTGCCCTGTCCGACATCTCCCTGAAATCTTGCCCCACTTTTTCTGTTATCTGTCCCTCAGAGAGGAGGTCACATGCAGATCCTTATAATCGGTTCCCCCTTTCCAACCCAACCTCCTCTATCCTCCCATTATCACCACTCACACCACTGGTCCTGAAGGGATCATCCACCCTGGATTCCCTGTTTCCAGTTCCTATCTGTACCAGTGTACATCCCCTGGTCTAGCCAGATTTGTAAGGTAGAATTGGGATCATGATAGTGGGGGTGGGGGTGGGGGAGGAAGCATTTAGGAACTAGAGGAAAGTTGTATTTTTCATACTTGCTACAATACACACTGACTGGCTCATCTCCTCCCCGAGACCCTTCTGTAAGAGGATATCCAGTGGCCTACAAATGGGCTTTGGGTCTCTACTCCACACTCCCCCCTCATTCACTCTGGCATGATTTTGACTCAGATGATGTCTGATACCTGAACCCTTCGACAACTCGTGATCGCACAGACTGGTGTGCTTCTTCCATGTGGGCTTTGTTGCTTGTGAGCTAGATGGCCGCTTGTTTGCCTTCAAGTCTTTAAGACCCCAGACGCTATATGTCTTTTGATAGCCAGGTACCATCAGCTTTCTTTGCCACATTTGCTTATGCACCCATTTGTCTTCAGCGATTGTTTATCATGGAGGTGGGCACACAATGATATGATTTTTTGTTCTTTGATGCCTGATGCATAACCTTCTGAGCTGACCTTTCTGCCCTGAATTTAACAGGCCAGCAGATACCCTCAGAAGTCAATGCATTGTTTAGATTTCTTTTTCAAACTCAACATAGTTAAGCTGAGAAAACAACATTCTTTGCATGTATTCACTGAACCCCTAAGAAGAACTTGTTTGTATTTACCTTGGTATATTCTAGAGAAATGTTTTTGTTAAAAAATAATATGACTGCCGAAGTAAACAAGAGTCATTCATAATCCAGGGATAAGCAGATGGATTATTCTGGGCTCCCAGGTAACTCTAGCCCTAATTTAAAAACAGTTAGTTCTTATAACATGGCCCTGCTCAATGCTTACCCTCAAGAAGAGTATACTGAAGATAAGGGTGCTACAGCAAGTGTGGTGAAGAAAGAAGAGGGTGTCTGGCTATGAGCTGGAATAGTCTTGTGGTCTAAAGGCTTGTCTAAGTGAGGTGTCAACTAAGTCCACACAGAAGCACACCAGCCTATGTGATTTAAAGGTGAAAATTTAAAAATCCAAATATGATGAAGGAGAAAGTATCAGAGCTTAAATTGTGAACACCCAACTTGTAAAAGGCTATGGAAGGTAGTGTCTGGTCAGATTGGGCCTCTGGGAAGATTCCCTCTAGTCACAGGTGAGGGACTCGAACAGCTTTACTATGAGACAGAGATTATTGTAAACTTGATCATGGTATATTGAACCATGGTATAATATGATACTTGGTCAGCTGACCTCTCTCTTGACTCAATCTAAATTTGCTCTATACTCAAATATTTCTAGATTGTTCCAAGAAACAAATTTTTTTTCTGGCTTTTTAAATATTGTGAGTGGCTTTTTTTGTTCTTATAATTATCATTTTCTTCTTTCTGTTTCATTTTGGTTTTGTGTGGTTTATTGTTTCTGTTAGGTCTCTCCATTCAGGAAGCATGGAAAGGGTGGGTGCACAGAGACAATAACTGATGCAATGGTTTCTTGGGAAGGGATGAGGGGAAGGGGGGTTGGGAGAGATCAGTGGATAAGGGAGGGAGCATTAGCGCTGATTGTGATGATGGATGCACAACTCTTTTTAGAAGCAGTTTAACTATGAAGTGTATGAATATTATATCAAGAAAACTACTAAAAAAGAAAGAAAGAAAAAGAAACCAAATTCGACCTATGGTTACGATGGTGAAGGAGGAAGAGTTTTTGTTAGGGAGTGTGTTAGACAGGGTTCTCTAGAGAGATAAAACCAAATTGCTGATAATTTAATATATTTATTTATAAACATAATTAGATATATATAACAAGACATGAACTGTTAAATCATATACAGATAAATATATAATACAAGAAATAAACAGTTAAATGATAAAGCACTACAAATGGCTCAATTCAACTCACTCCCGTGAGAGAGAGTTGTGAGAGACTAGCAGTCCTTCAAGTCTAGTCTGCTGCCAGATCTTCCTCTATTAATAGAGAGAGCTAGGCTATGTCAGCACAGCAGCCAATCAGAAGGCAGGTCACCAACTGCCAGCCAGGTCACCAACTGCCAGTCCCCAGCTCCAGAGATGTCTTAAAGGGACCTCAACTTACAGCGACACAGTCCACAGGCTAGGCATCCCACAGGTAGTGTAGCCTTTAAATTGAGGCACAGGACAAGCAAGGTAGCCGCACACTGGTCCAATGATCAAAGAGCGAGAGACAAGAAAGGCGAGACTCACCAAGCCATTTATCTCTCTGCCCTTCAGTTAATCCCACTTGCGTTTATCGGCCAGGCTGGCACAATAAACTATCTCAGGGAGCATTGAGTTTTTCCTCAGGGGGCATTATTTTAATGGTAGTAGAACAATAACAATAATGACTGTACAACACAAAGAGTATAGTCATTAGCATTCATGTATGTAAAAGCTGTTGAATTGGTGGATGTTTTGTTGTGTATGTTTTTACCAAAATGTAAAAAATTACATTGATAACAAAGAGTTCTGGGAAAAAAGAAAATGTTCTAAAATTTATTGTGGAAAGATTGCACAACTCTTCTTTATATGACTGAACTACTGAAATGTAGAATATGTGGATGAAGTACCAATAAAACTTTTAAATAATAATATTTCATTCTGTGTTCAGTGAAGGATCCCAAAGAAAGTCAGGTTCAAATTTAACAATTTCATACATGAGTATGGTGATATTGGTTATATTTTTCACAATGTGTCAGCATTCTTATTGTTTCCATTGTGGCCATTCTGCCTCCATTAATCTAACCCTATTCCACTTAACTTCTCATCTTTGCCTGACAGAAAAGTTGGCCTTGGTCTGATACAGGTAATTACTTAAAGGTACACAGTATGCATAGGTGATATGTTTATTCTATGAGCCATTCTGTTATTTGTCTCCA